AGGTGAGTGTGTTTACTCCCTATCTTAGACCATGGCATGGCCAGTTTTGGGTTCCTCACCCACCAGTTGCATCAGCCAATGCTCTAGAACAGAGACAGAGAACAGGACCCAGATTCTGACAGGCTGGATCCTGAGCTCTCTTGACATTGGAGGGAAGGGCTACCCACTTTTCAATCATAATTGAAGCCAGTGATGAAAAGGAATCCCTCCCCCCTTTGTAGGTATGACTTGATCCATGTCAACAGAGGAAGAATGCTCCTTTGTGTTGTTGGCTTAAATCGAAGGTGGTCATTCAAAGGAAGAATGGGGAACACCCTCTGCATCCAAACATTGGCTCTTTTGGGAATTTGGTGACTTTCCCAGTTGCTGTGCAGGGCTTAATGTCCAGCGCAGAACCCAACCCAACCTACCATCTACCAGACCACAGTGTCTCCTAGTTTATTGAGGGTCCTACTTTTGGATATTCTTCCACCCACGTTCAATTGCTGCCACCTCAAGATGTGCCTGGAAGCAGGATAGATGTATTGAGAAGTATATTGCCAAATAGGAATGGCTGGATGCAGAAAGACCTTGCACAGTTAACACTCTTGCGGAGGGCTTTTTTTTCCAGCCAGAGTTCACTGGTGCTCAGCTCCAGCAGCTCTCAGGTGGGCAAGGGAGAAATTCATGGTGAGCTCTGGCACCTCTCTTTCTGAAAAAATAGCACCACTCCTGCATCCAGGAGTTGTGCTGATCTGCCGTCCAGATTTCCTGCTTTGACTACGGCTTAGACCTGCAATGTGTCGTGCAGTCCACCATGGGTGATTCCTATTGGCATAAGACTTATCATAGATCAAAACAAAGCCATTAATTGACTTCCTTTCCATAGCATTGATGTATGCATGCTGATGGATGCAACACATTCTGACCCAGCTTCTCTCCTGGGAGGGCAAGTGGGAGTGCCAGATGTGCACTTAAGACGGCTCTATCCAGCAGACAGATTTCATCAGAAGGATAGAATTATCCCAGGAATTTTAAGGTCCTTTTTTGCTTTGTCTAGGAAAAGGGGAAGATTGAGCACTATGCAGATAAGATGTTCTGCTTAGTGACTGAATAAGTAAAATACGTCTTTGAACTTAGTAAGGCCCTGGATGTTAACCAGCCTTCCTCCCTTGCTCTTTTTCCTAGTTTCTGATCTCTGTGTTTCTCTCTCTCCCCCCCTCTCTTCAGGAGTCTCTTAGAAATCGAAGAACCAGCCGCAAACCATAATGGGGGACAGATCCTCTTTGGCCTGGATGGCTACATGTACCTGTTTACAGGGGATGGAGGGAAAGCCGGGGACCCTTTTGGTAAATTTGGGAATGCTCAGAACAGGTAAGGTCCATCTTCAATAAGTGCTGATTACATATGAGACGGGACGCAGGTGCTGCTGTGGGTTAAACCACAGAACCTAGGACTTGCCGATCAGAAGGTTGGCGGTTCGAATCCCCATGACAGGGTGAGCTCCCGTTACTCGGTCCCTGCTCCTGTCAACCTAGCAGTTCGAAAGCACGTCAAAGTGCAAGTAGATAAATAGGTACCACTCCGGTGGGAAGGTAAACGGCATTTCCGTGCGCTGCTCTGGTTCGCCAGAAGCGGCTTCGTCATGCTGGCCACATGACTCGGAAGCTGTACGCTGGCTCCCTCGGCCAATAAAACGAGATGAGCGCCGCAACCCCAGAGTCTGCGACGACTGGACCTAATGGTCAGGGGTCCTTTTACCTTTACCTTACATATGAGACAGCTTACTTTGCCTTTAAAGGCAAATTATACTTTTTAAAATAACGCTGCTTTTCTGTTCAGGGGTGCTTTTTAAAGATTATCTAATCATTTATTGATTTTTTTCAAATCTTTTATGTAAGTTCCCTTGCGTATCATTTGACAGAAGGTGATGATATCCCATCTAGTCAAGCAGCCAGCCAGCATATATGGAAACTGCTACAACACTCTCCCTTCTGTTTCTTTGTCACGTTCGTTAATCCTTGTTTTATGCCTTGATTTCCTCTCAGGAGTAGTTTACTAGGAAAGGTTTTGCGGATCGATGTGGATGGAAGAAGCTCTGACGGGAAGCCTTACCGCATCCCCTCTGACAATCCTTTTGCCTCTGACCCTCAAGCTCTCCCAGAAGTCTATGCCTATGGGGTGAGGAACATGTGGCGTTGCTCTGTGGACAGAGGTGACCCGCTCAGTCGCAAAGGAAGGGGGCGAATTTTCTGTGGAGATGTCGGCCAGAACAAGTATGAAGAAGTGGACATAATTGTTAAAGGCGGGAACTACGGCTGGAGAGCTAAGGAAGGCTTTGAGTGCTATGACATCAAGCTTTGCCAAAATTCCTCCTTAGGTAGAGAATATTACCTGTCATTTTTAGTGTGTTGGTGGGAAGGCCTTATCTTACCTGTATTTGGTTTAACTGTTAATTCTGCAGCTATCATTTTTGTCATTCCTTTGTGAAGGGATAGGAAGTGCAAATGCACTTCATTAAGGATAAGATCCTTGGGGGCAAAGTTACAACATTTAGAGTGCTTTAGTTTCAGGAAAAGGCAAGTACAGTCATACCTCATGTTTGCTTCAGGTTGAGCGTTTTCAGGTCATGTCCCATGGTGACCGGGAAGTACCGGAAAGGGTTACTTCTGGGTTTTGCCGCTTGCGCATGCGCAGACACACAAAGTGACGTCACGTGCATGTGCAGAAGCGGCGAATCGCGACCCGCGGGTGCGCAGACGCGGGTTGTGTTCTTTTCAGGTTGCGAACGGGCCTCCAGAACAGATCCCGTTCGCAACCAGAGGTACCACTGTACAAGGAGACACGATAGAGGCGTATAAAATCACACGGGGTGGGGAAAGTGAATAGAGAAACGTTTTCTCTCTCCATTTCTCACAGAGCCTGGGGGCATTCAGTGAAGTTGAACGGTGGAAGATTCAGGACAGACAAAAAAAAGTACTTCACACAGCGCACATGGACTATGGACTTTGCTCCCACAGGAAATAGTTATGGCCAACAACATGACTGGCTTTAAAAGAGGATTTGGCAAATACATGGCAGAAAAGGCTATTCATGGCCACTAGTCGTGGTAGTGATGATCTACCTCCACTGCTGGAGGTCTCTGAATATGTGTAATTTCAAGACCCCTCCTCTCCATTTTAATGGTTAGTTATTTTTAAACCAGTCTGGGGCCCATCAGTCATTCAACCAGAGGGCGCCTTCAAACAGAGGTCTGTCCGCTGCAAAGCTGGATGCATGGTGGTCCTATAAACCAGTGTTTCCATATAAACCAAGATATTCCAAGGGGATCACGGTGAACAATGCGTAAATGGGGGAACCACAGCCCAAGGCTAGGGGGCCACAGAGGGAAATGAGAAGTGAAGGGGGGGGGGAAATCCTGATTGGCTAGCTGTCTGCTTGGCCAATCACAAGCAGGTAAGGGGGCGGGTCACCAAGACCTAGTGCTCTCTCTCCCTTTTTTTTTGCCACGGATGGGTGTAGCCAGGATTTTTGTTAGGGGGGCAGGTTTCTTGTGGGGGCAGTACCTCTGATTTGTATTGATTTTTACTTATTTGGGGGGCAGTTGTCTCCTGTGCCTACGCCCATGGGAGGGGCAACAGGAAGGAAACTAGGTCGGATGGGGGCCACAGTAGGAAAAAGGTTGGACAACGCTGCTATAAACTACACTAATTTTACTTTAAATGCCCAATTTGTTTTTAGAAAAAAATTGCTCATGCATTGAAGAAGGATGACTATTTCCTTTTTAGATAATCAAACAATTTTAATTGACTCAAGTGCATTTTCTCTGTTCTTAACAGATGATATACTTCCAATATTTGCCTACAGCCATTCAGTGGGAAAATCAGTCACTGGAGGTTATGTGTATAGAGGATGTGAGTCTCCAAACCTGAACGGCCTATACATTTTTGGTGATTTTATGAACGGGTAAGGAACAAACTTCTTTCCATTAACTTTTCAGTACAGTAGGTAGGTTTCCTATAGACCATCTCAGAATATTGGTTTTTGATTCATCCCTAGTCATGGGCTCAAACAGTTCATGGCAATGGAGAGTAGCAAAAAGTATTTACGGCCCCCAGAGAAAGCCTTGGATCTATTTTGGGATATAGGTAAACGTAAAGGTACCCCTGCCCGTACGGGCCAGTCTTGACAGACTCTAGGGTTGTGCGCCCATCTCACTTAAGAGGCCGGGGGCCAGCGCTGTCCGGAGACACTTCCGGGTCACGTGGCCAGCGTGACAAAGCTGCATCTGGCGAGCCAGCGCAGCACACGGAAACGCCGTTTACCTTCCCGCCAGTAAGCGGTCCCTATTTATCTACTTGCACCCGGGGTGCTTTCGAACTGCTAGGTTGGCAGGCGCTGGGACCGAGCTAGGACCGAGTGCACCCCGCCGCGGGGATTCGAACCACCGACCTTTCAATCGGCAAGCCCTAGGCGCTGAGGCTTTTGGGATATACTGTACCAGAAAGAGTTTTTCTAAGCTACAGTGGAACTGTGAAACCATAAAACACATGTTTTTGTTTTTTCATCCAGTCGGCTTATGGCTTTGCAAGAAGATGAGAGAGCAAATCAATGGAAGAAGCAAGACATTTGTATTGGTAGCACTAAAGCCTGTGCCTTTCCAGGGATGGTCAGCTCTTACAGCAAATACATCATTTCTTTCGCTGAGGATGAAGCAGGTAATGTTGGTTACTGTGTCTGTATTCTTAGAAAATCATTTTTTTGGGAGGCCACCAACTCTGAGTTGTTCAACAACTTTTGGGGTGTCCTGGTTTACTTTTTGAAATATGGCAACCCTGAAATAATCAGGAACCTGGAAGCCACATGGTTTCTTTAGGCTGGTGGTAGATTACAACTTGCACAGGCCTGGCTTACATAGAGAGGAAAAAATTGCACGGTTATCAACTTGTTGCAACTTTGTCTGACGAATTTCACATTCCTGGCTTTCTCCTCTCTTCCTGTTGTCTCCAGCTGAGCTCTATTTTATGGCTACGTCCTACCCCAGTGCCTTTGCGCCACATGGATCGATATACAAAGTTGTGGATCCTGCAAGGTGGGTACTTTTTCAAGTCCTTGAATGTCCATGCGACCTGCTGATTTTTTGAACAGCATCAGCATCACACACAAACATTCATCAGTTTTCTTCCAGGGTGATAGATACTGTTATGTACTGAAGTTCTCACCCTAGGCCAGCAGGGGGATACTGTAGATAGTTTTCACTCAGGTCCACATATGCAAATAAGGGATCGAAAGTGACGTTCAGTGATTGGATAGTTACAGAAAATGGTTACTGTTGCGTTCTAGTGGAGCTCTATATAAGCAGGCTGGCTGAACCCTTCAGCTCAGTTCTGTTCTGGGTTTGTGAATAAACAAGAGCTGTTTGAAGAATCGCTGTGTCGTCTGATATGTTCACCCAGAACTTAACAGATACAACAGAAACACTCCATTCACATGACTGGATTTCAGTTTCATGCATTAAACCTGCAGAACAACTATGTTCCTGGGAAGCCACAGTTTCCTGCTCTGGCACTTGCAGATCAATCCACTAATATAATTAAAACGAAGTACATTGATTTAAAGCAATTGGGCTCCAGTTACAGTGGTGCCTCGCAAGACGAAATTAATCCGTTCCGCGAGTCTCTTCGTCTTGCGGTTTTTTCGTCCTGCGAAGCACGGCTATTAGCAGCTTAGCGGCTGTTAACGGCTTAGCGGCTAAGCGGCTTTAAGAAAAAGGAAACAAACTCGCAAGAACTTGCAAGACGTTTCGTCTTGCGAAACAAGCCCATAGGGAAATTCGTCTTGCGGAACGACTCAAAAAACGGAAAACCCTTTCGTCTAGCGAGTTTTTCGTCTTGCAAGGCATTCGTCTTGCAGGGCACCACTGTAAATCAGTGGGAGTCCACAGGCTTAAACTTCTTTTAAGGAATTTGAGGATTAGGAAACCAAGAGCCCTGAAAGCCCCACAATTGGTTTCCCCAACTTTCTTTCCTCCAGAGAATTCTGGGCACTGTAATTTGTTAAAAGTTGCTGGGAGTGGTAACTCTGTAAGGGTCCCCAGGATTCTTTGAGGGAAGAATGTCTCATGAAGGTATTTTGTGTGTGTGTGCAGAATAACAAAATACTGTGAAGCATGGGAGCATGTTCCATCAGTAACAGGAATTAAATATCGCATAAGCTACTACAATTGATATCAAGAAACCTGACCCAAAACCCTAGGTCATTCTTCCCCTGGTGGTTCAGATGGTGCCAACTCTCAAGGAGTAAAAACCCAACCATGTTAGGTAGAAGAGCTACCACCACTCCTGCTTTGTTCACCCAACTTGCGCAGGAGATCTCAGGCTGTACTCTAGGGACTCAGCTACAATAGTAAACAAAACAACCCATTGATTTGAATGTGTTATAAACATGCAACACCAGATGGCGCCAGAGAGCACAAAACTTTTCTCTAGCATTTTTACACAGGGGTTTCCCCCCCTGGTTTTAATGTTTTAATTTCTGACTTATTTATAGTATTTTTCCCCTGTGTGTAAATCCACACTAGCTGTCCCTAAGACCCCAAGGAGCAAGAGCTAAAGTACTGCTCTCTGCTTCTGAGGCCTCAGGCAATAGAAGCCAAATTACAGCAGCTGTAACTCGAGAGGTCCAAGGAATTGGTTTAGAACCAAGGCTTAACTAAAATAAGCACAGCTAAAATGAAGAGGTGGATGTTTTATTAGTAATAATTGAAACAGCAGCATAGCATGAGAGCTGTTTACCAACTAGGAGATATTGGAAATAAATCTGGAGCAGGGCCTGTCCAGTGTTCAGTCTGCTGCTGCGCTCATCTCAGTTCAGTTACTCATTTTATATTGTGTCTGTTTTCACCCCTACTGTAGGGAACTCTGTCCCCATTTGTGCTCAAGGAGAGCTGGCTCACAGGCAACCCGCAGCATAGAAAGCAGACAAAAATACATCTCTTTGTAGTTTTGTATTTATTTTGAAGTTGAGACCAACCATAGAATTCGTCTGAGACTCAGGAACTAGTCTAGAAAAACACGGGAGTTGTTGACAGAACTTCCGTCCAAGTAATGGCAAGGCACATCAACGACAGTAATAAATATTCACTGTTCAGAGCCAGTGTGGTGTAGTGGTTAAGAGCGGTAGTCTCGTAATCTGGGGAACTGGGTTCGCGTCTCCGCTCCTCCACATGCAGCTGCTGGGTGACCTTGGGCCAGTCACACTTCTTTGAAGTCTCTCAGCCCCACTCACCTCACAGAGTGTTTGTTGTGGGGGAGGAAGGGAAAGGAGAATGTTAGCCGCTTTGAGACTCCTTAAAGAGAGTGAAAGGCGGGATATCAAATCCAAACTCTTCTTCTTCTTCTGTTTGTCTATCTCCTTTTATCCAAAGGATATCCAAAAGATTAATGTACCAAGAAAGCATCGCTTTTGCTCCCAAGCAGGGAAGACATCCAGGCCTACCAACATTTGGGATGCTTTTCTGGGCAGATAGTAATTTTCATGTTCTTTTCACCTTGTTATGAAGATGTCAAGCTGTTCTGGGAAGCTTTAATCTCTTTGATACACACTTTCCAGATTTTATTTTTTATTTTTCTGAGCCTATGGGTGCTTTCAGGTGTGCGTTTATTGTGGGGTGGGTGCTTCTTATTCATGCAGGTATTGTTTTGTTTTTGGGTTTTTTTGCAGCAGCCACATGATGGCATTGGCATCAAACCACCAGCCTCTATTTCCCCTCCCATTTAATCTCTTTTTTTGTGTGTGGGGAGGAGAAGAATGTAAGGCTTTAAACACACACACACACACACACCAAAAAACACACCAAAACTTACCAACCTGTTGTTCATGCTATCTGAGAACGGGTATTACTTCAACTTCAGTGGAAAAAGTGTCCAACAAGAACTTCCAGGAAGATCCATGGACCTTTCTGCAGGTTTTTAGAAGTCTATATTCCCCATTCATTTCTTTAGCATGTTTGTGAATTACACTCAAGAGAGAAAGTGAGAACTGTCTCAACTTCTGTAGCATAAAAAGGCCATGGAGTTTTCAAGGCAGAAATGCGAGAACTCACGCTCACCACAGCCAAACGACATGTTACATTATTTAACATTTTTTTTAAAAGTGTGGTTAAACAGGCCTGTTTTGTAAAAAAAATGTAGCTATAGGGTCCAATCTGGATTGGGGCACCATGTGAGTTTCCTGCTGAAATTCACTCACTTGCTCATATTTACCCTTGAAGTTGTTTCTTTTACTACAAATGAATTGCTCCCACTAAATACTGAGATTCCAGAGAACTTGCTTCTTCCAAAGAATCCTGGGAAATGTAGTTTGTTTAAGAATGCTACGAACTGTAGCTCTAGGAGGGGCAAACTACAGTTCCCAGAATTCTTTGGGAGGGCATGTATTTTAAAAGTATGGCATGCATGTGACCCCTTGGGAATGATAAATGTATCACAGTTCCAATTAATTTAGCAGAGCAGTGGAAAGACTTAAAACCAAAGATATAGTAGGCAAATATCATCCACAGGAAAACTGAAATATACTCGGAGTCGAGGGTGGATTTCATGCTCTTTATTCAGCTCATAGTGGTGAGGAGGAATGAATGTTCCCCCAAAGTATCTGCTTTATATACATTATTTACACAATGGGCTGCACGTGATTGGCTAATTCCGGAATTCTCCTGTAGGCCAATCAGGTTGTGGATTCACTTCCATCTGGAGCTGGATTGGGTGGCTCCTGCAGACCAATCATACTGCTGCATTCTTCTAGGACCACTCAGACTGCTTCATTCTGAATCCTATTGTTCTAGGACCAATCAGGCTGCAGCATTTTGGATCCTATTCAACTCAGTACCTAACAAAACCTAAATCAGGAAGAGAGTTCTTTTCAAGTACAAAATGCTTGACATTTTCCTTAACTGAAAATCCGCTTCTTCACAAGGAGAGAAACTAATGGAAGGATTTGGGCAGGATATAGCTCTTGTTCTGTTCGCATGAGAGTGCTTTCAAGGTCTTTTGCTGGCAAGCTCATGATTTAACAGAAAGACTGAAATTGGCCATCTGCCTCTAGAAAACCACCACAAACACAGGCTCCTTATCCATTCTCAAGATGTCCACACATAATTTTTGTGACCGAATCTATTTGCTTTTTAGGAGAGCTCCACCAGGGAAATGTAAACAGAAGCCTATTCCAGTGAAAACAAAGAGTAAGCGAATCCCATTCATTCCCTGGGCAAGTAAGTCAACAAGGATATGTAGTGTTTTTCTGTTTTGTTTGCTATGTAGCAGAAATGCTAAGACACATTGAAAGGAACTTTCGATGTGTGCGCCAACCATTAAAGGCTTCCAACTAAGTAAATACTACAATCAATCAATAATAAACAATTTAGTTACCCCCCCCTCTTTATTGTACACTTGTGATTATTTTGCTCATGATGGTATTGGGGTTGTTGCCGGAAAAATCCGAGGGCTCCCTTGGACAAAACAAAGACACCAAGCAGGATAACTTGGAGCAAAACAGCAGCCTGTAGGCTTGGCCTTTATTGAACTGATGCATCAGGGGTGTTCCCCTCACTTGCAGGAGAGAGGAAAGACCCAGAAAAATAGTGTGCCAGGTCTTATAAAAACTTTTGAAATTCCCCTCCTCTAGGTCAAGCCCACCCCCCAGAAACATCATGCATATATTACAGAAAGGAGGGGTTGAGGGAGGAGTTGGTGGTAACCTGAGTATCTTGTCACCTGGCTGGTTCCTCCTTTCCCCCCTCCCCATGAGTCACTTCCAGGAGACAAAGGGGAGTTTGCAGTTTCCTGCCCCCTGAGGGAAGATCTGATCATTGTTCTTTGTTTCAGTCCATGCTGAATCCACTCCCATATGCAAGTTCTTTGTGATCTTGATTGCCTTCTGTCTGGGATCATCTGGGCAGGGCTCCTGCAGATGTGCTGAGATGTGCTGAGATGGTGGAGGGATTATGGCTGACCAGGACTAAGCCACCCCCCTCTGTTAGTTCTTGTCATATGGAGTAAAATAAAAAATGGAACAGTGCAAATCCGATGTATGGTTGATTTTCTATGAATTTATAACAGAAATGTGGCGTATGTAGTGTGTGAGTGTGTGTGTGTATGAAGTTTGTACAAGCAGAATGATTGGGGTGGGGGGGGTTCCTGCTACAGGGTGGTTATACACAATCACGTTTTGACACTGTTTGCACCTGCAATCGCTTTTGCAATGGACATACTGGCAGTTTTCCAATTGGCACAACAAATGTTCTAGATTTGTGGGTTTTTTGGGGGGTGGGGAGGCAGGAATTGGCTTGCTTTTGCTGTGCTGTAGTCCAACAGTGCCCTTCTAGGCGGCACTAATACTGTATCACTGGGGAAGCATTGCAGAACAACAAATAAAGTAATGTGGTGTGTGGACACTCCAGTGTAAATCCACCATCACTAATGCAATAGTACTGTATCAGTGACATGTTGCAGAATACTAAAAACAACAAAACCCTCCAGTCTGAATGTATATATTTTGATCTAAGTATATCTGAATCAGGGGTGAACTTTTCAGCCTGGGGGACCAGACCCTTATCTGTCCCCACCCCCGTCAAAAGGTGGATTGGACACCAGTCCAAGTTGTCACTGAAACCGCCCACACCCTCCCACATTTCTCCGATGAAAATAGGGACGTCCCATTCCATAATGATAATTTTACTATTTATACCCCACACATCTTACTGGGTTGCCCCAGCCACTCTGGGCAGCTTCCAACATATACAGTGGTACCTTGGGTTACATACGCTTCAGGTTACATACGCTTTAGGTTACAGACTCCACTAACCCAGAAATAGTACCTCGGGTCAAGAACTTTGCTTCAGGATGAGAACAGAAACCGTGCTCCGGTGGCACGGCGGCAGCAGGAGGCCCCATTAGCTAAAGTGGTGCTTCAGGTTAAGAACAGTTTCAGGTTAAGAATGGACCTCCGGAACGAATTAAGTACTTAACCCAAGGTACCACTGTATAAGAACAAAATAAAACATTACACATTAAAAAAACCTGTCCTATACAGGATTGCCTTCAGATGGCTCGGGGGTCAGGATAATGCCATACGCTCCAACATTTCTCTAAGGAAAATAGGGACATCCTAAGGAAAAGCAGGACATTCCAGGATCAAATTAGAAACCAGGACGGCTTCTCTAAATCAGGGATGTCCTTGGAAAATAGGGACACTTGGAGGGTCTGTGCTGGCTAAAATGGACATTTTCTCTTCCCATTTTCAAAGTGGCTTGAGTGTAAACCACTTAGTGTTTGGCATGTTCCTGCTCTCCGTCAGCTGATGAGCAGGGGGAACAGGTCTTGTTCCTGCAGAAGAGCAATTCGGAGCTCACTTTAAGCTCTCGACCATTCCTTATGATGGGAGTTGTAGTCCCGTGTGGTTACATGGGTACCTGCTCCACACTTGATGACAACAGGTGGGGGGGGCAGGTAGGTGTGGTTTTCAAGGGTTGGCTCTGTGGGCCTAATCGAAATCCCAACTTGGCTCACTGGTCCAAGGCTTCCAAACTTGGGTCTCTAGCTGTTTTTGTACTACAACTCCCATCATCCCTAGCTAGCAGGACCAGTGGTCAAGGATGATGGGGATTGTAGTCCAAAAGCAGCTGGAGACCCAAGTTTGGGAAACCCTGCACTGGTCAATGGCTCCTCACCCCAAATCTAAATGTTTGAAGCTTAGGGTGGATTACCCAAGCCAGCAAACCTCTTCCTAACAGCTCATAATATTTTCCATGTTCCCCCCTTTCCATTTTATCCTTACCACAAACCTGTGAGGCTGAGGGATAGACTGATTCAAGGCAGGGGTGCTGTTGTTAAGGGTGGCTGAGGGGTTCAGGCAATGCTGCAAAGCACTGTGATAACTGTTATGTTTTGAAGTTCTCACCCCGGTCACCAGGGGTATTGTGTATATAGTTTTCACTCAGGTCCACGTCAGTTAATTTATGTGGGAAACCCTGGGCTATTGTTGTTACAATGTTGACAGCCAGCTGCCTATAAAAGCAGGCCGGCTGAGCAGTTCAGTTCAGTTCCAGCTTACTTATAAAGAACTAATTGGAGAAATCTCTGTGTCGTCTGCTTTGTCAACCCACTACTTAATAATAATGACACTTCACCCACCATTTTTAAAAAATTGTTTTTGATATTACAAATATAGATTTACAATACCAAATGCATATCCATATAAAGAGATCTCTCTGAATCTCAAGACTTCCCCACCATCTCCTCCATGGGTCCTATTGTCAACCTTCTCAACTGCATATTATTTCATAATCTATATTTTATATCTATCCATATTGTCCATAGTATTTAATTACAAGTGAGATTAAAATCCTGCTAATGTTTTCATCTGCTTACAGCGGTCTCCTCAATAAATTATAATTTCCCCCCATTCTTTCTTGAAGTTTTTGTCTTCCTGGTTCCTGAGCTTTCCGGTGAGTTTTGCCATTTTGGCGTAGTCTAACAGCTTGGTTTGCCATTCCTCTCTGGTAGGGACTCTTTCTTCTTTCCATCTCTGGGCTAGTAGCATCCACGGTGCTGTTGTCTCATACATAAATAATCTTTTCTGTTCCTTTCCCACCCACCATCTTAAATTGCTCTGTATCGCTGCTAAATTCAACCTGTTGAAACAAGGATGGTAACCTCCTAAAATGTCTCTTCACAGAAACCGTCCTTGAACTGCTTAAAGAGCGTCTTACAACCCGTCCCCCCAAAACAGCCTTCAATGCTACCGAACCGCCCCCAAATTCTTCCACTCCAAGATCCAAGAAGCCTGCCTCCCACAAAGACCCTACTAAACGTAAGGCAGCGAAGGCTCCCAGGTCTGGCAGAAAGCAGCAAATGACACAAACCCCCAAGGCCCGGGGATCCAAGACGAAGGCGCAAAAGGCGAGGATTCCACGGGTCTCAAAAGTGACGGTGACAACCTCCCCGCCAAAGAAAAAAGGCTCCCGGTTAACCAGAGCCCAAAAGAAACAGGTTCCAAAGCTGAGGTCAGCGGCTAAGGAGAAATTCAGAAGAAGACAAGAAAGGGGGCCAGCTTAAGAAGTGCTGCTTGAACTTCCAGTATACACCAGAGTTATGTGAATGTAGATGAAGTTGCTGGGCAACTTGCTTCCGTTCCGCTCTTAGTAAGAGAGTGAGATCAGTGTGTAGTTTACATGCCAAATAAATATATATATGTATATGAATGAAAGCATTCCGCTCCAGGAAAAGCAAGCAGCTGCTAGGCCACTGTGACAGATGCAGCACATGCGCTTAATGAGCAGTTTAAATGCCCCAGATGGATTCCAGGTTGTTGCTTTGCAGAAATCTTACTCCGATGACCGGTTTAAGGAGGTGACACAGTGGCCATTTACAGCAGTATAGTTCTACAGGAATGTCAGTGGGATCGCTTTGGCTGTGTGAAGCAGCAACTGATTTGCACCCTCTTTGGGAAATTCAGTTCCCCCATCGACTTGCATGGCAAAGAGCACCACTGAAAAGATGGCGAGGTTAATAAGTCTGTGGTACTTTTGTCTCGGGGAGAGTAAGGCTGTGTATCAAAAGGTTAGTAAGCAAGGAACACTGGCTGCATTTCAATGGCTGAACAGTCTAATAAAATGCAAACCTTCTAAGGAATTAACTACAGGGAGCAGAATTAACTAAATTGCCCAGTCTCCTATTTTGAGGATACTGGGCCATAGTTGATTTTCTTTTATCAGTTGCAACATACATTCTAAAGCACACGTGTTTTCTCTCTCCCTATAATAAAGTACTGGATGAGAACAAATAAATCAAAGTGCGTCTATTTGTGTGGTTCTCTTGCAAGGCAAAAAATGTTTCAACAAAAGCACTTAAATGCTGCGACCTTTTGTTGTAGGTCTCACCTGGTCACTTTATTAGACAACATCCCATCAACACCCAACGCGGGTGTACAATATTCCTGGACACCTGGGATTCAGATCATACTATCACAGATACAAATTCCAAATGCACCAGTATTGGGGGTGGGGGTGGGAATTCACCTGTGTTTGGATATGGGTAGGATAGGTCTTATTCAACATCTTTATCAATGACTTGGATGATGGACTCAAGGGCATCCTGATCAAATTTGCAGATGACACCAAACTGGGAGGGGTGGCTAACACCCCAGAGGACAGGATCACACTTCAAAATGACCTTGACAGATTAGAGAACTGGGCCAAAACAAACAAGATGAACTTTAACAGGGAGAAATGTAAAGTATTGCACTTGGGCAAAAAAATGAGAGGCACAAATACAAGATGGGGGGACACCTGTCTTGAGAGCAGTACATGTGAAAAGGATCTAGGAGTCTTGGTTGACCACAAACTTGACATGAGCCAACAGTGTGACGTGGCAGCTAAAAAAGCCAATGCAATTCTGGGCTGCATCAATAGGAGTATAGCATCTAGATCAAGGGAAGTAATAGTGCCACTGTATTCTGCTCTGGTCAGACCTCACCTGGAGTACTGTGTCCAGTTCTGGGCACCACAGTTCAAGAAGGACACTGACACACTGGAACGTGTCCAGAGGAGGGCAACCAAAATGATCAAAGGCCTGGAAACGATGCCTTATGAGGAACGGCTAAGGGAGCTGGGCATGTTTAGCCTGGAGAAGAGGGGGTTAAGGGGTGATATGATAGCCATGTTCAAATATATAAAAGGATGTCACATAGAGGAGGGAGAAAGGTTGTTTTCTGCTGCTCCAGAGAAGCGGACACGGAGCAATGGATCCAAACTAACAAGAAAGAAGATTCCACCTAAACATTAGGAAGAACTTCCTGACAGTAAGAGCTGTTCGACAGTGGAATTTGCTGCCAAGGAGTGTGGTGGAGTCTCCTTCTTTGGAGGTCTTTAAGCAGAGGCTTGACAACCATATGTCAGGAGTGCTCTGATGGTGTTTCCTGCTTGGCAGGGGGGTTGGACTCGATGGCCCTTGTGGTCTCTTCCAACTCTATGATTCTATGATTCTATGATAGGAACAATTAGGATAATAAGCTATGCTTTGCAGTAAACCTTATGTCTAGTAGTGGGCAAGGACTTAAGAATGACTTTGCAGGGGTCAGACTAAGGCCACCCCTAAATCAAGCAAGGCAAGGACGGCATCTTTGCTGCCTCCTTCATTTTTCACGTTATGACTGCCATATTTCCAACGCATTTACAGCCTGTTCCACCACACTAATGTATGACTTGTAGGAACGGATGCATCTCTCATTCAGCACTATACAACTAGATAATGTATCCTTATTTAGAAAAAAAAATACAATCACTTAATAAAAAATACCTAAGCAGGTTACATGACTCTGTAAAACAACTAGCCATGAAACACAGATAAAACCTGCAAATGTTAAAACCCGTTATACATAACTAAACAATGTCTGGAAGGACATGCTGCTATTAAAAAAGCTTTTAGCTGCCATCTAACACAGAAAAAACGTCAAAAAACAAATTCAATATCTTTACTACTGAGAATCATTCATGTATAATTACTTATGTACCTGTTATACACACTGACGATCTACTCGTTACCTTGAGGACTTTTCTATTTTCATCTAAGGATTTGTGTTATACAGGAACGTACAAGAAGAAACAGTAAGAAAAGAAGAATGTATTAATACATATGAACTGTATATGTTGCAACATACTGGGCTAGACCTTTACGTTAGGAAATACCCAACAAAATGTTTACAGTTATTATTATTCAGCCTGTTGCACTTTGTGTATCTAACAACAGAAAAGCCAAAGTGGCCTGTGCAATATTACTAAATTAAGGAAATATTAATTCCCCCCCCCCCCGTGAAACTTGTCCCAGGTGTTCCAGGCTGCCTGGAGCCCCGATCACCATTCTTAATGGCTGGGGATATACAATACTTCTTCGTGAGTTATTACATATAAAGAATACAGTAGCAGTAGAACACATTTTTTTCTCTTTGGGTCTCAGGTTCATTCAGATTGTGCCACGTGGTTTAAAGTACCACTTCGGGGAGACCTCAAATTTCCCAATAAGGTTGCGTACACAACCATCCCTTGGAAGCGCACGGCTTTGCCCCCCAGCGCAACGCCCCCACCCAGGATAATCCGGCCCTTCTTCCAGGGACTTTTCTCACTTCGGAGACCCACGCAGATTCCTTGTCCTTTAGCGCCACCTGCTGGCAAGCCTGGAAAGACCCTGAAACTGAGCCTTTGCAACCAGCGACGCCTCTCCGCTGTTCTCTTTCGAAACCTTCAAATCTCTTAAGAGTAATTTTCACTTTTTGAAGCAGGCGTACGTAAATACGATTTATGTTTTCTTTTTAAAAAAAATAAAAATAAATTATTTTTTCCTGCTGTAGAGAAAAAAAGATGCCATGATGGTCCCTCCCCACTTTTCTTCTACGTTGATCGAAGGGCAGCAGTCTTGATTTCCACAGAGCTCTATCAACGAGCTTCAAATCTTGCACTAAACGTTTTGCATTAAATTCTAAGTTCTTAAACAAAGAAAGAGGAAAAGGAGGGGAAAAAACCCGCTCAGGCCCCAGCGAGGATCGAACTCGCGACCCCTGGTTTACAAGACCAGTTGCTCTAACCACTGAGCTATGGAGCCACCTATCTAGTTTCTGCTGATACAAATGATATGGTACTGTTCTATGCTACCCCGGATGCTTCTACCATTTTATCGAGCTTCTTAGATCGATGTTGTCGCGAAGACCTAAAAAAGCAACCTTTTAATTTAAAAAATCCCCCCCAAGCGCTGTGTGCATAACGCCGGGGAAAAAGAAAGAAACCACAGCCCGAAGTAGAGACACAGCCGGATCGTGCGTCCCCGGGGAAGTTTTCCAAGCAATTCTCCTCCTTCTGGACCTGAAGAGAGAGACCCCCCCCCAAACATGATTGTATGATGTCCAGCTAAAAAGCAAATCCAAGGACGGCTTATTGTTTGCAATGCATTCGCCCCCACCCGGCCGTCTCTAAAAAGGGGTTTTTTAAATCACATAATACATCTCAGAATCACCGGCCTTTCAGGTTTGGCTTTGTGCAGATGTCTACTTCGCTTCTCACTGCAAAAGAGCGATTTCTACCAGATAGTAATGAAAAACCATCACAACATACAAATAATTTCATTTTATTCCAAGCAGCGTCGCTTCAAGTTCCCCGTTCCCGGTTTGGCAGAAAGAGCTCCTTCTTCGGTCTCACGCTGGAATTCCTATTCACAACAATTAAGGTAAGACCCGATCGACTTACACGAGGACTTACTTATGCGTAGACATGATGGATCGGACTGCAAAAAACCATGCAGGCCCTATAGGAGGTGGGGAGGTGGGTGGGTCAGGGGTATAAGAATGAAAATCACAGCCTGGTCTAAATTTATTTTCCCCTGGAAATTTGGAAGCCTGCAAGGAAGCTGGCTGACACCCATTAGAAAACAATGGGAGAAGCCCAGGATTTAGACACAGCTGTCATTGGGAAGCAGTAAATTCTCTCCCCCCCCCAGCCTCCCCTATGCTATTACTATGAATTTTACCAACTCTTTGGGCTATCCAAGTTTGAAAGCCTCAGAAATGCAGTCCAATTGCAGCTGGTTTACCACACCTATCAGCCAATCACCCATTCCCAACACCCTTCTGAGTAATACCCCTCCCCACCCTCTCACTATACAGTGAGGGGGGGAAGTATTTGCACCCCCCTGCTAAATTTGCCCATTTGCCCTCTGACGAAGAAATGACCAGTCCATAAATTTTAATGGTAGGTTTACTGTAGCTGTGAGAGACAGAATGACAACAGGGAAACCCCCAGAAACCCAGAAGACAAAAGTCAGAGATTGATTTGCATTATAATGAGCGAAGTAAGTACCGTATTTTGATTCCTTTGCAAATAAGATGACTTAGTAGTTGGTGGCAAAACCCTTGTTGGCAATTACAGAGGTCAGACGTTTCTTGCCACCCAGGTTTGCACACATCTCAGGAGGTATTTTGTCCCACTCCTCTTTGCAGATCCTCTCCAATTCAGTAAGATTTTGAGGCTGAATGTGTAGCTGGACAGACTCAGTTAGTGACACACCCTCTTCTGGAGGAGGAAGTGAACCTACCTCTCTCTCTCTCTCTCTCTCTCTGCATCTGGAGGCATATGTATACTTGCTCCCAAACTTAAGAGCACAGGTCTGGGACTGTATTGCTGTATTTTCTATTCAAGAGTATTTGCCTGTGTTTCTCCATGCAAGCTGCATGGAACAACACATGTATCAGACCTAGGAATCTGTAAGTAAAGCATTCAGGTAGGTAGCCATGTTGGTCTGACACAGTCCGATATATCATATATAAAATAATAAAATTGTCCAGTAGCACCTTAAAGACCAACTAAGTTTGTTCTTGGTATCAGCTTATACCAATAACAAACTTACCGTAGTTGGTCTCTAAGGTGCTACTGGACATTTTTAAAATTTTTTTATATATTTGTAAGTAAAGTATGTGTCCGTGCGAAAAAGGTCAAAAGAGGGGGGCATTGTAAGCAGGGTAAGAAAGGTCTTACACCCACATGCCTAATGCTTCATTGTGCTGCCTATTTTGTGGCTTTAATACTCTGCTATTGGGCTCTCCGCGTGCTGAACCCAGAAAATTCCTTTTTTGTTGTCACTCACACACCAGTGGGTCCGACATGGATCTGTATATATTTTCCTCTCACAAGAAATTGAAAGTAGACCCCAGCTGTGGATCAGTTGTGATTGTGCAATTTATTAGAACACTCATTTCTGTAAGAACCAACTCCCAGAAACGGATTCACTTGTGGGCAGGGTCGGC